TGTTTAAGGGCATGACACTCATTAAGCACTTTTGACTTAAATTCAACTACTAGGCCCTTCCTGAGAATAAAATATACATACTTTTCAATAGGAAAAACATAAACCAACAAAGAATTTAACTGTTTCTCAAAATTATTTCTAATTTATAAATGAAAGTGTGGTCCTACATGGGGCTTCAAAGCACAATTTGAAACCAGAAAAAGGACTTGGAAAGATGAAATAGTCAGATGATAACTGCAGTTTACAAGGAAAGGGCAGAGCAACACTCTAAAAATATTTTTGAACCACTGTACAAGGACCAAAAATATAGAACAAATACTATGTATTAAACAAACATCTAACACCATGGAGGTAACTACAAAAGCTTCAATCCAAAAGTATGCAATATCCTGATCCGCTATTTTTAAGAAAGCAGTCATTTCAAGAAAGACTTCATACACCAAAACACTTAAAAGGAGATGGGCTCTAAAATGATTTGATAACATCTCACTCTGTTGGACCAAAATGCAAGATAGAAAGATACAAGACAATATGCATAAATAATATATCAAGCATCAATCTACTGCAATTTGAAATGACTAAGAAGCAGAAATCAAATTGGAGTAAGATTTTATGATTAGCATGGATGGCAAGTAAACCATACCCTGACAGACGGCGTCCTTTAGAACCAGAATGTGAAGAACCGGACTTCGACCGAGATCTGGACATTGAACAGCGTCCTGACTTAGTTTTGGGAGATTTACTGCAAAATAACTCGTTAAACTTAATTGAAAGTTCACTTTTAATCAAGATTCGTGATTATGAAATCCACAGCAGACCTTCGGCCACGGCTTCGGCTTGAACTGCGATCACGACTACGGCTCCGGCTCCTTGAGTAGGAACGACTACGACTGCGACTCCTAGATAAGCTTCTTTTAGGATCATATTCCCTAACCTACATACAAAAGGCACCTTCAAACCTCAATTCATGTTTAACGAAAAAATATATGAAATAGTAAGAAAATGTTCAGATGGCAAAATACCCTTATATATGATCGAGAAAATGCATTCCGGAACTCAGAATCATCAAGCTTTCTGATCTGCAGAGAAACAAAACAAATTAAGTTAATTTAGAAAAAAATCTTAAGATGCCGTCTCAAAGTTGCTTGAGCAGTAAGTAGTCAAACAAGAACTACTTACAGCGTATTTCATGTCGTCATAGTTAGAGTAATCTACTATCCCTGTAGTGCCTGCAAACATACCAATAGCATTTTACAGAAAGAAATTCATGAACAGCAACTTGAAATAGAAGCCAAAGCAAGGAGTGCGCAACTGCATGTGTAGGGTCACATGTGCATCCATGCACAAACACACACGGAGATGGAAAAAGAGACGGGAAGAAAAAACTGCATAAGCACGGATGCTCTGACCCAATGGACACATTTGGATACACCTTACATATCACCAAATTATTTTAAGAAAAATAATAATTGTGACTAAGAAATATCAAATAGTAGCAGATGGCCTTAGTAATGTCATGTTATTTTAAGATTGAGATGTAAGAACCAAGCCTGGAAACTGTGCTTGGTTGATTCACTTTTGCATGTACCATATATTGGTTCTTGATGATGAATAAGAAAACCTTTTATTTACAAATAAAAATTTATGTTTTGTGATATCTGAGCTGTCTGCCTTCTAACTCGCTGTTGTGGTACATATTTACAAATTACGAGCCAAGATGCGTGTGAATTTAAAAACCCAATTTAGGCCATATACCTTTAAAAAAAGGTTGGGCTTAAAGTGTATCCAATAGCAACTCATTAAATTGGATAAATCTTAAATCAGACTCAAAATCAAAATCATCACCTATTTCTAACTCCTTCGCCCCAAAACTTGGGATGCAAAAATTTAGCAAAAGAGCATACATCTCTATGTGAGAAACTAAACACAGAACAGAAAGAACAAAAGAAAGAAGCTGCTTCTGTAGACACGCGACATATAGTACTGCTAGGTGGATTCAACCATTTCATGGAGAGGCAAATAAACTCCCTAAGAACACGTTTTCCATCCACAAAGATCTTAGAACACAGAATGCGTACATCCCAAGATGTGTGTGAAGGTTAAAGCGCAGGTTAGGCCATATACCTTAGAAAAAGACTGGGTTTAAAGTGTATCCAGCAGCGATCTCACTAAAATGGATAAATCTTAGGTCAAGTCTCAAGATCAAAATCATCACCTATTTCTAACTTTTTTGCCCTAAAACTCGGAATGCAAGAATTTAGCAAAAGAGCATACATCTCTATGTGAAAAACTAAACAGAGGACAGAAGGAACAGAAGAAAGGAAGCTGCTCCTGTAGACACGTGATATATAGTAATACTAAGTGGAATTCAGCCATTTCATGCAGAGGCAAATAAAGTCCCTAATAACACTTTTCCATCCACAAAAACTTTAGAGCATGGAATTCATAATCTATTATCTTCTATCATGATAACCCAGGATGTGATTTTAAACAGTTTTGAGCCGCTGGAGACTTCCTAACCTGTCATGCATTGTCAGAACCTGTCACTTAAGGTCATGTGTGGAAAGTTCATACCATAATACGAAAAAGTAGATCGTATACATGACAGTAAAATAATCAATTAACTCACTAATGGTTATCCAATATTCACTGAGATGTACACATTTCTAAAACTCACATGACCCCAAACAAAATGTGTACCTTGGAATTTCAAGCACTATCATGCTCTCTAAACATTGTTGATTTGCTTGATTGCAAAATCTAGAGAACTGGTTCATTTCCTGTCTAAAGGTTAAGAGTGTTTTACAACCAATGATTTGGATTTTGGATCACCACTTACGATAATTGTGATTGTCTAACATGCACTGCCATGAGTGTGACTATGTGCCATAGGATCTTTCCTCAACACATAAACATAGTCCAGGTTATAAAACCAAATTTACATCACCACTATAGCAACCCTAATTGGGATTTGACGAATCACGTACTGACAACAAAACCAAAAGTGATACGTAGGTGCTAGTATCAAGCAACTAGCAAACCACGTTAAAAATAGAAGCATAAAGGAGAATGACCAAAACACATAGACCATGCATAACCATGCATAAAAAATAGATCACCTCCGCCATCACGAAATACTTCAGAGAAACAAACATCACCAGCTCGACGCATGTGGTCCTAATCACAGAGAATGTACATGATAATTAGTACACAATTTGAAAGGAAATAATAAATGAAAAATCATACTGACACAAGGTTGGGCACTACCTTCAGGTCTTGCCATGATGCAGATGATGGCAGACCAGTCACCTTCACTGTATCGCATAACATATGTCTTAGAATGGAGATGCATAAAAAGAGCAGCACCTAAAGTTCTACATAAATAAAACCAATTCAAAAGTGAACCTCGATAGTTTGAATGCCTTGAGACACCACCACGGCCACCTCCACCTCCACCATTGTAACTACGATGACGTTCAAAAGGTGAGGGGTGCCCTCTTCCACCATGCGCAAGTTCCACCTGGAACAGCTCACAGTAGTGAGATAGTACAACATATTACACAGAACTCTCTCTGCACCACTGTTGTGAACAAAAGAAAGAAATGAAAATGAAGGAAAAGAAAAAAAGAAACAAGCAGCAACATACCCGTAGCTTATGACCATCAAAACTATAGCCGTCGCGGCCACGGATCGCATCTTCAGCATCATGAGCTTCTTCAAACTGTAAAACGACAACATAAAACATCAACATCGACGTTGTTAGGTTAAACTATCTAAACATAAAATGAACCAATAAGAAATATCAGCCCCAAACACATACACTTCGACTTTCATATACGTTTCATTTCAATTATGCAGCCAATAAAATAGGCTAACATAATTTAGCTTTCATTGAATTGTTAGAAGGCAGGTTTTTATTATAAAAAGTCAAGGCTACAAATGAAAAGGGCCCCACAGAAGATATTCATTTCATGACATTGATTCATTTTGATAAATAGGATTTCATAAAGTAGTACCTCAACAAATGCATAACCTGGAGGCCTTGGAGGAATCTTCAGATCAATATCTTTAATAGGTCCATACTAAGAAAACAAACAATATGTTAGGAATGTATAAACCAGTAATTCATGAGCAAGTTGCTAGAGAAAAAAAATAAAATTTGGTATCTTTCCATAGCAATGTGTGTGCAGGCACACATACAATGTCTATCATGTGAACCATTTGAACACTTTCCAGGCTAGATATGCCTAGATCACAAGCAAATAACAAAGAAGCTATAGACTATGCACACTTAAATACACATATTTCTGCCTTGACATTCTCACACATATTCTCTCAAACCAACAACAAAAATTAATGAAAAAGATTACAGAAGTGAAATACTGACGTACATGCATTAGCAGTAAACCACATAAATGAATCGCATACATTTGCATCATAGATATAATAATATGGCAGTAGTCAACTATAATTGGCTAAAAATGTGCTTTGGACCTACTGATTGATTTTTTTATAGATAGATGGAAACCAAGAATGCTACTGATGTACAAGAACTTGCAACTTTCTTGTTGACCAATAATCGAAATAAAAAAAAACTTATTATAAACAGTTGAGGTCAATCCTAAGCATAAGAGCAAAAAACAGAGTCCATGTAAGAAGGGACCGGCATTTTTTCCCTCTTTTTAGAGAGAGAGAGAGAAGGATTGGGTTTCTATCAAAGCTGCAGCCTGACTTCCATTCAAGAGCAGCTTTACAAAACAAAATTACAGTCCCCAATTCTAAGAGGTGTAACAAATACAGTTATAGTTGCAAATTTAAGAAGTTGTTGATATGGAAATAACACTCTTCACAGTCAAAATTCTAGCATCGAACAAAGCTCATGCACAAAATACTGAGCAAGTTTAAACTGTACCGAGATGAAATGCCAAGAACAGGCAAAGGTAAATAGCACAAAGAATTAATTACTCCACCATCACATCATAGTACAAGTTTTCAAAATAAAAAATACGCATAAAATTAAATGCCCAATTGTTTGCTTCATGCAACAGGTAACACCTCCTATTAATAAATTAGTCCATTGTAAGACAAATGCAAAGAATGTAATAAAACCTTGTAGAACAAATCTTCGACCTCCTTCTCTCGAATATCTCCGGGTAGATTGCCAACATACAAGGTTCTGCTCGAGCGGCTGCTCATTCTTTCCTAAAACAACAAAAAATAGCAATGATTTCGAGAACTCTAGGGGTTTTCTCCCCCAACCTCGACTGGAATCAGCTCGAGGATTGTATCTAGGGTTTTAGCATGGAAACGCCGCATTCGAGCGTTTTAAGGGGGGTTTTCTTTTTTACCCAAAGGTTTCTAGGGTTTAGGGTTCAAAGTTCGCTGCTTTTTTCTAGGGTTTCTTAGCGTATCGAGAAATTGGGGGAAAAAGAGATTACCTTTGGCGGTCGCAGGAGATGATTGGGAGGAGAGAGAGCGTTTCCAAGGCTTCGGGTTGCTGAGAGTCCAGAAAAGAGAGATAATAAACTAAAAACTTGATGGCAAATGTGCAAAAATGTACATCTTGCAAGGTTATTTTTGACATTCTTGTTTTAATTGTATTTTCTCTGGGTCCTCTTTTTTGAAGGGGAAAAAAGCTTCCAGCCAGAGAGAGCGTTTCCAAGGCTTCGGGTTGCTGAGAGTCCAGAAAAGAGAGATAATAAACTAAAAACTTGATGGCAAATGTGCAAAAATGTACATCTTGCAAGGTTATTTTTGACATTCTTGTTTTAATTGTATTTTCTCTGGGTCCTCTTTTAATCCCCAGGCCACCTTCCGTTTAAACACCGCTCGAAATGCCCAAAATACCCTTCGCAGCATGTGTTCGTCGCCCTCTCACGACGGAAACCCATCGTTTCGACTGTAGGCATTAAATGGTGATATGAATGACTTTTTTGGGGGGGAAATTCCCATTTCCCTCCAAAATTATCATCAGATATTATCACCAGCTATATCCCCCTTCAAGCTAAGTTGTTCCTTCCACTTAATTCTCCTCAATAAAAGCCTCTTCGATTCTTCAACCACTCCCTGTAATAAAATGGTGGATGGATCTCTTCTATGCGTGGTAAATTATCATCAGATATTATCACCAGCTATATCCCCCTTCAAGCTAAGTTGTTCCTTCCACTTAATTATCCTCAATAAAAGCCTCTTCGATTCTTCAACCACTCCCTGTAATAAAATGGCGGATGGATCTCTTCTATGCGTGGTAACGAAGGCAAAAAGCAACAAAGGTGGTGACGGTGTATTCGTCGTTATCAAAGAGAATACAGAAATAATCAGCTTGAAATATCGAGTGGCGGAAAGGCTTAAAATACCAATGCAATCTCTTTCACTGAAGTTCATATGCGAAAGGGAAAAGAAATTCAGCATTTCAATTGACAATGACGACGACTTAAATTTGATGTTCGAGTATTGTCGGCGTAATGGATTTACAGACGCGAATTTGTATGCCACCTCCGCTGCGGAATCCTCAACTTCGCAGAACACGCAGACTACGCCGGAAACTGCGTAGGAATTACACTCCAGATTTCCTTTTGAGTTCACTGATAGGTTTTGCCATTAGTTGTTAACCTCATGCATTGGTTGCTTTGGTAATGTGTTGGCTGTCAAGGTTATGTTAAGCACTGGTTGTTAAAGTTATTTGTTGGCTGTTACGTATACTAGTTGGTTGCTAAGTTATGGTGTTTGATGTTAAGTATATGCGTTTGTTGTTAAGGTCACGAGTCTGCCCTTAAGTATAAGGGTTAGTTGTTAAGGATATGTGTAGGTTGTTACGTTTATGAGTTCGTTGTTAAGGTTATCAGTTCGTTGCTAAGGCTATGTATTTTGATTTATACTTCAGGACAATACCGACAGAAAATTCGCGGTGCGCAGATACCCCGTTCACCCAAACCTGTAATGATGAGCGTATTCCTAATGACAACCCCACCGGCGACTCGATCATGCTGCTGGAAGACATGCTTAATCACCAAACAAAGATCCCAACTGAGTGGCACACCTCCATACGTGAAGTTGGTCAGAAATTTGATAGTGCTGCTGAAGTTAGATTAGCACTTCAATACTATTCAATTGCTAAACGGTTCGAGTATGATTTTTACCACAATGAACAAAGACGCATAAGAGTCTATTGCCGATTCAAACACACACATGGTTGCCCTTGGATGTTGTTTGCTTCCCCGCTCAGAAATTCGTCTATCATGTCCATAAAGAATTTCGAGTCTACCCACACCTGCGGTCAACATGGAGCAAATGCTGGCAACTCAAGGGCATCAAGGAAGTTCATTGCTAGCCAAATACAAGCTGTTTTGAAGGTTAGGCCAGATCTTCGTGCGGTCGATATCAAGAACGACATGCTCTCTAATTTTGGCATCAAGATTAACTACAGTAAAGCGTGGTGGAGCAAGGAGACAGCTCAACAGGACCTGTTCGGTGACGATGATGAGGCTTACGATTCACTGAGATGGTCCTTATCTTTTTTATTCTTCTGAAATCACTCTTACCTTTTGGTTGCTAACTATACGTAGTAGTTGTTAAAGTTGGCGGTTCGACGTTAAGTGTACGTGTTGGTTGCTAACTATACGTATTAGTTGTTAAAGTTATTGGTTCGTCGTTAAGTATACGTGTTGGTCGTGAAGTTTGAAGATCATTTGTTATGGTTATGAATCCTTCGCTAAATGTACTGCTTTGTTGTTATATTCATGCAGGTATGAATCCATGGTGCATGCAACTAATCCAGGGAGTCGTGTTGTTATTGATGCTGATGACGGGAGGTTCAGGCGACTGTTCATTAGTTATAATGCCTGTATTGAAGGGTTCATTGCTGGGTGTAGGCCTCTATTGTTTTTGGATGGAACATTTATTAAAGATCGTTACAGAGGCATACTACTTAGCGCTACTGGGTATGACGGCAACCAGGGAATATTTCCCCTAGCTTATTGCGTATGCGACCAAGAGAATGAGGTTAACTGGAAATGGTTCTTACAAGGATTATGGACGTTACTGTATGATAGGGAAAATCCTTACCAACCTCCACATCGACTGGTAATGATTTCAGACGCCGACAAGGGTATCAGGGCAGCAGTCGAGGAATTCTTTCCAGATGCATTCCATTCAAGGTGTGTTCTGCATCTAGTCGAGAATTTCAAAAAAAAGATGAAGGATTTTGGGCACAAGGCAAATATCGCGACTACGTTGGGCGAGCTGTTACAATCTGCGGCTTATAAGTTCACAATATCTGAATGGGATAATGACATGAAAGAATTGGCAGCGATCGATCACAGGGCTTATGTCACTGTAATGGAATACTCCCCGGAGAGATGGGCAAACGCGCATTTTCCTGGTATAAGGTAAGATAGCTTGGTCCCGACGTTATTTTGTTACAGCACTGTTATAGTTGTTAAGGTTAGAGTTATCCTACAGTTTTCTGTTAAGGTTAGATTTTTATTGTTATGGTTAGAGTTATTCTGCTAGGGTTTTGCTGTTAAGTTTAGGATATTTGTTGTTAAGGTTAGGCCTTTAATGTTTAGTTTAAGGAATTATTGTTATTGTTAGTGCTTTGTTGTTAAGGTATGGCCATGTTACTTCAAACGTTGCTGAGTCCTTCAACAGCTGGATAAGAAAGGCACGATTGTTGCGAATCTTACCTTTGGTTGAGACCATACGGAAGCAAATAATGGAGCGCATGCATGAAAGGAGGCTATTGGGTCAGAAATGGTCTGGATACCTATGCCCGGAAGCGGAGTTGGTGCTGAGTGATAACATTCAGCATGGTAGCTGCTTGGCGATTAAACATTCGACGGAAGATATTGTGGAGGTCGAGTCCAATAAAACTTGCCGCGTAGATTTGAAGAATCGGACTTGTTCTTGCAGGTCCTGGGACATCACCCGCATTCCCTGCAAACATGCGTGCGCTGCAATTACATGGATGGGACGAGAAATTTATCAATATTGCGATTGGTACATGACTGTTGTTGCGTTCAGAGCAAGCTATGCACCGATCATCTATCCCATCCCAGATTACGAGAAGCGCTTTGTACCGCCAGAAGAGCGAGTGTTGAAGCCTCCTCTCACCAAAAAAAGACGTGGCAGACCATGCACTAGACGAATAAACAACAGGTCGCTGAACACCCGACCGGTTAAGTGCTCTCGATGCAACATGGAGGGTCACAATCGTGCAAGCTGTAACGAGCCTATATAGTTTAGCGTTTTATTGTCATGTATATGGATTTGTTGTCCTGTATATCACTACAAGTGAGAAGGTCATAGCTTGGTTGTTAAGGTGATAAACTTGGTTGTCAAGTTTATCACTTTAATGTTGACGTTTTGACTTGGTAGTTAAGGTTATTACTTGGTTGTCAAGTTTATCACTTTAATGTTGAAGTTTTGATTTGGTTGTTAAGGTTATTTTTTTGGTTGTCAAATTTATCACTTTAATGTTCAAGTTTTTGATTAATTGTTATGTTTTTTTGGTTGTTAAGTTTTTGATTAATTGTTATGTTTATTGATTAATTGTTAGCGCCCTCTTGTGGAGAGGTCCCTTGCTGTTATTCAGCAGCGTTTGGTTGTCACGGTCACCGGCGTATATTCTCTGCTACTGCATTCAATGTTCCTCCTAGTTCCCAAGGAGGTGAGTTAATATAACCTGAACACCTACCTATCCCCACATTCCACGCGGCAACACCACCATCCCTTCGCCTGTCAGCTACAGGATAGCTAACCTTAACAACCAATACAACAGATAGCTAACCTTAACAACAGGGAGCTAACGTTAGCAACCATTCCATAGTTTTGACAACAGATAGCTAACATTAACAACCAATTCATAAGCTTGACAATTAACAGCTTACCTTAACAACAGATAGCTAACCCTATTGTTAAGGAATCCATAAGCTTGACAACCAATCCACGATCTAAACAACAAAACCATAAGCTTATCAATTCACCCCCTGATCTTCTCAACCAATAAGCTATACAGTAGAGCTAAACGTTACAACAAGGAGCTACAGATAGCTACGATTCCACAAGTTCAACAACAGATAGCTAACCTTAGTAACCAATACATAAAAATTGACAACAGAGCGCTAACTTTAACAATAAATCAACAAGCCTGACAACAAAGAGTCAACCTTAGCAACCAATCCATAAACACGTAAACTTAACAACCAGTCAATAACCTTAACAGTGAGTCCATAATATTTCTTGATAAATCGTTAAACTTAACAAAACAACATGTATCCAAAAATAATTTCTTTTACAATGAACTTGCTACAACCTTATAACAAACAAATAAGCCTATCAACAACCCCGTAAACTCAACAAATAAGCTTGAATACACGATGACTACAGCATGTATTACCATTGTCTCTACTATATGTCCCATAACCGTGGGTGAATATAACTGGCTCCCTTCAATGAGCTTGTACAATAAAAAGATAGTTAAGATTCATAGGTGCGTGGAATATGATCAATTCA